AAGAAAGTTGAAAGATAGAATGGACTGTTCTAAACTCGGGGATAAATTTATAAATCATAGGGTAACCTCAAAGAAAAATTAAAAACTACATTTCTCTCTCTCCTTTGCAGCTACATGTAGCCTTTTAACTGAGTTCTGGTCAATAGGATATTTGTACTCCTGAACCTTACTCTTAATGAATGCCTAGGTATGTATGTGGCCATACAAATTACCAAAGACCATCACCAATTAATAAGGTATTGCCCATTATCTGATAACTTAAAGATGAAAGACAGAAGGGGATATAAGTCTCAAAACAAACTAAGATGTGGAGAGTCAGCCCATAGCCTCTGATAGCAGAAACACACTTGTTCCCACCAGGTAATATAGACAACCAGGCAGAACTTCCCTGAGTAATGAAAGGATACAAGAGAAAATGAAGCACCATATTTTCCTGCCTCGGGGTCTTCACATACTCTGTCCTCTATAGCTGGACCTCTTCCCCATGCTCATGTTCTCCTCAGGTCTCAACGTAAACATCCTTTCTTCCAGGAAGTCTTGTCTGACCTACCCAGAAAAGCAGATCACTGGTTACACGCTCTCATCACCCTCTGCATTTCTCCCTGGGAATATTATGTCTGTCATTAACCAGTATGCCAAACCTTAACTCCTGATGTTCTTGATAGGCTGTGAGCTCCGTGAGTACAAGGATGATATTTTTTTTGTATTTAACACTGTATCCCTAGTCCCTATCATAGTACTCTTAATAAATATCTGTGGAATGAACCAAGGAAGGAAGGAAGGGAGGGAGGGAAGGAGGAAAGGAGAGAGAAAGGGAGGGAGGGAAGGAAGGAAGGAACAGACGAATGAATGTTGAACAAACTTACCTGTGTCATTATAAAAGAGGAGCAAGATCTCAAGGAAAGGCTTCTCTAAGAAAGGAGAGAACAAAGCTGCTGCAGCATACATCAAATCCTTATGCCATCTCTTTAGGTGAGGAATCTGGTCATCCAAGCAAGCCATCACGGAGTAATAAACTTCTTAGCTTGTGAGTGACCTCTAATGAGCCCACATGGCTCACTGAAGCCATTGACATTGGTATATCGTCTCTTCATTCTTGATCTCATGGACAACAGGTAATTTTCTCCTACATGACACACTTGAGGAGTTGATTGCCTACTCAAGAGTTTGTACACATGGAATTTGTGCTTTGAATTTTATATGACAGAAACTCTCTAACAGAAAAAACAGCTTAACTGTGTGGTGGACTTTGAGCAAGTCACATCACCTCTCTGTCTTGAAAGGGACTGGCTACCCTTATTAAAATAAAACAAAAAAAGACTTCTGAGGTTTGAGCAAAGGACTCCAGACAAGTCTGAAACAGGGGAGGTTGCAAAAGAGGGTCCTGCTTCCTAGCACAGGGTTTTTGTCTGCTGCTTTGAGGTGTTGGTTCCTCATTGTAACCACTCCAAGGTAATATAAGTCTCCTATAACACTAGAGGCTGGTCATAGACTAGAAGCCTTTTCCCCCACCTTTAACTTAGCAAAGCTAAGGCTCATATTGAAAGATAACAAAACAAGAAAAACAAAACCCTTACTCTAAACCTTGAAAAAGCAAGAAAAAAACAACATCACCATTGTCTAATTTCTGACTCAGTTTTTGATGCTAAGAATACTAGGAAAAGCCACACTGAGAGTGTATAAGACCACAGGAAGTGGTCTTATACAAGTTCATGGTAAATCCATCACACAAAGACATCAGAACAGACAAAAGCCATAATATGCTTACAACAGATGAGCACCCATACGGTGGGGGGGGGGGCACTTCTCCCACTCGTTCCAATTCACCCCTCGACAGAGGAGCCATGAGGAACAAATAACATCATGGATCTCATTAATGAGCAAGTTCCCTACACTGTGCTTATTTTAAGCGTGGAATTGTAAATGGCAAACATTTGGAGCAGAGTTACAATGACATCTGTGTTTGTATTTACACTTGTATTTGTTTATAAACAACTGTATTTATACCTTTCTAAATGAAATGCCTCCTAGCAAAACTTTGTACAGCTTGCATAACCCTGAATTCAAATAAAAGTAAAACATATACATCTAGCAATTTGGAGTATGCAAATTAATACATAATGTTTATTATTACTATTAGTAATAGCTCTGGTAGCATAGTGCCTAAGGCACTTGACTGCTAACCAGAAGGCTGGCGGTTCAAACCCACCAGCTATTCCTCAGAAGGAAGGTTGGGCAATCTACTTCCGTAGTGATACTGTCTCGGCAACCCAAGGAGGGGTCACTATGAGTCGGGTACAACTCAACGGCACATAACAACAACATTAGTAATGGCACTGTGGTTAAGGCATTGGGGTGCTAACCAAAAGGTCAGTAATTTGGTTTTTTGGTTTTGGCAGTCAGTCTTAACCGACTTCATTTTTCCTTGAAATCAGAGCTTTCTGATTACTAGTTACCTTTTCTACCTCATTGTGCTGGTCTCAGAAAAGAGATAACAAACCAGAACATGGGGAAAATTGAGGACATAGCTTTTAAAATGCTTTGCTTCTTTTTTGTGGCCCCCATCTAGGTATATCTAGGTTGTTATTGTTAGATGCTGTCGGCTCCGATTCATAGCAACCCCATGTACAAGAGAAGGAAACACTGCCCCGTCCTGCACCATCCTCACAATCCTTGCTATGCTTGAGCCCATCACTGCAACCATTGTGTCAATCCTTCTCGTTGAAGGTCTTCCCCTTTTTCACTGACTCTCTACTTTACCAAGCATGATATCCTTCTCCAAGAAATGGTCCCTTCTGACAACATGGCCAAAGTATATCCAGGTTAAGTTGGTTATTGTTTGATGCCCAGACTCACATACAAGTCCAAGAACCCACAATTCCCTACCAAGTGCGTAATACAGGGCCCATAATGTTTGCTCAGAAGACATAGACCAATGGCTATCCAGACTGATTCAGCACAAACTGATCCTGGCCAAGGCCATTTCTGCCAATGTCTGTCAGCCTTCTTAAAAGGAGCAAGATGCCTTCACCAAGTTCTCAGTGAGACAAGTGTGGGCATCACTCTTCTCTCACTGTCTGCCCCCTCAGGTGTATAGCAGTTGACCTCTTGGTCAATAAGAAACTCAATGGGACAACCAGGAATGGAAAAGTGGACAAGAGGTATTTCCTCTACACAACTGGCTGTATAGAGAATGGCTATACCATACAAAGTCTGTGCAGGCTATCCCCAGAACAACTGGGGCCACTTCCTAGGTGCCCTGGCAAGGTACAGAGGTTAGGAACAATCCCTCTATTTCTGGTATTGTTCTTTGCACATAGTTGGTACCTAGCAAGTGTTTGTTGACTGCATATAGAAAAAAATGAATTAATGTTATTGAAATGTTCACTTTTCCACAAGCACTCCCCAAAAGGCTTACAGAGATATTGCTGAAGCTTAGCCCTGGCACATGGAAGAGGGTGTGTGCATATGTGTGGTCATTTCAGGCCAAGGCTCAAGCAACACTCATCCCACACCTCTGTTACCAAGCACACATAGTCCCTCTTAACAACCAAGAAGATGCCTCATGATCTGATTTCCTCTTGGAAAATACTAAGAAAGAGGAAACATGCTTATGCTTAGAAAATCCATTTTAGTCTGTTTAACTTGCCATGTGCTTCCCTCAGTGGGAGGGGGCACAAAATAGAAAGGGACATGCTGGGCAATGACAAGTGTGGGCTGTGAAAAGAAATGCTGGGCAATGGCAGAGTAGCTTACCGGCCAGTGAGCAGCAGGGACAGGCGGTTGATAGGTGTCTCACCCTCCACAGCATAGGTCTGCTCAGTGGCCAGAGCTAGGACCTGCTCCTCACAGCAGTGAACAATCTCCTTGTATGCCTGCAGGGGCACCTGCAAGGGCAGGCACAGAGTCTTGTAGAGGAGGGCAAACTCCTCAGGAAGGGTATCCTTGCGCAGGCGGTACACCAGGTGTGCCAGCTGAAGCAGGCAGGCCACTACCAGCAGGGAGCTCCACAGGATGATGTCCAGGCTGCAGGCATTGAACCAGCCCCACAGCACACAGCACAGATAGCCTGTGCCCAGGAAGCCAAAGAGGTAGAAGCAACCATACACCCCACTGCCCCCCATGAAGCCCAGGAGCAAGAAGCAGTTGGCCAGGTGGTAGACAGCCCCTTCCATATCCTGACTCCAGCTAATGCATACTGGCCTCTGCAAGAGGAGCTGGCCCACCGTGCTGCCATTGGTGCTCATCTTCAATGTCCCAAAGCCTTGCTGAGCTTTAAAACTGCCTCCACATAGAATACTAAGGAAATGAGATATCTGTCCTACCAGGTGTCTCTCACCTCCGGCTTCTCATTACAATTTCCTTTCCTGGGAGGAATGCTTCCCGTGGCTTTGGGAATGAATGGCAGAAAGTAGTACACTTCATGTGGAATTTAAAAGCTTCTTTCCTCCCTCGCTCGCTCACTCACTCTTTTATCTCTTTGTTTCTCCCTCAGCTCTGTTTCTCCCCACAGAGCTCTGGCGGTCTTTCTTAGCTCCTGTTTTCTTAGGTCAGTCTTCAAACTTGGCTCTTAGCAGAAAAACTAAATATTCCCAAGAAAAGGTGGGCTGTGGGACTGAAATCTTCAGTGTAGTGTGGAACGAAATGACCACAGCCTGCTGCTCTCTGTTGTCCCCAAGCCGAATGAAGAGAGCCCAGCACCGGAGGCACATTTGTGTTCCATTTGGAATGCGTCTCTCTTGGCACCGGAAGGAAGGGTGACCCCAGATGGATACCATGTTTGGAATTGGAATCCAAGAGGTACTGGCAGTGAGAGAAAACAGGCCAGGCACACAGGCAGGCTGGCAGAGCACTTAACATACCTCTGGAGAAGACAAGATAAGACCTCAGGCAAGAGAGGCCGCCAGGGAAAGACAAAGGAAAAGTGAGCAAAGAATTTATCACCTCAGGCAGGACACTGTCCAAAGCTCCCGGTTTGGGGGTCAGAAGACTTTCTGAGGTAGGAGGACACATCTATTAAAAAAATATGGGACTCTCATCAGTAAAATCCTAACAGTGAAAAGTGGAAAACCCCTTTAAAGTCTTTATTGAGTCACACTGTAAATATCATTATGCATTTATGTAATATCCATCAACCAAAAATAGCTATGCAAAGCAACTTTTGAAATACTAGGCTGATTTTCCCCTGGGTATGTCTAGATCTGTTGTGTTGTTGTTGTGGTAGTTAGGTGCCCTTGGGTCAATTCAAACTTGTGTGACAGACTACAAATGCCCTATGGGGTTTTCTAAGCTATAATTGCCTAAGGTACCTGACTGCTAACCAGAAGGCTAGGGGTTCAAACCCACCAGCCACTCCTTGGAAGGAGAGTTGGGCAATCCTACTTCCGTAGTGATACTGCCTCAGAAACCCAAGGAGGGGTCGCTATGAGTCGGTGTCGACTCGATGGCAAACAACAACAATCTTCCTAGGAGCTGATTGCAGGTCTCCTCTCCTGTGGAGTGGCTGGTGGGAGATAGCAGCCAAGCACTTAACCATTGTTGCATAAGGGCTCCTTATATCTGGATCTAATAATAAGGGGAAATAGGTTGCCCAGACCATCACCTGATCCACTTCATATTTCTAAATTATAATAACTACCACGTATTAAACACCTTATTTATTTAGTAATTATACAGATCTAGACTTGGCACTTTACATATACAGTTGGCCCTCCATATCTGTGGGTTCAGCAACTGTGGATTCAATCAAACACCAATGGAAAACTTTGAAAGGGGGCACAATTAAGTGGTCAAAGCAATCCCTCAAAGGCTAAGATGGAGCATAAAGTGCTATTTATACAGCATTTACATTGCATAGTGCCTAAGGCACTTGACTGCTAACCAGAAGGTTTAAACCCACCAGCCACTCCTTGGGAGGAAGGTTGGGCGATATACTTCCGTAGTGATACCGCCTCGGCAGCCCAAGGAGGTGTCGCTATGAGTCGGGGCCGACTCTACGGTGCATAACAACGACAACAACATACTATAAGCAATCTAGAGATTATTTTAAATATATCAGAGGGTGTGCATAGGTTATATGCAAATATTACACCATTTTATATAAGGTACTTGAGCATAGGAGGGTTTTGGTATCTGTGTGTATGTGTGTGGGGGGGGGATGTTCTGGAATCAATCCCCCGTGGATAATGAAAGACAATTGCAGGGATTGAATGTACAGCTATGCAAAAGGAACAGCATTTCTACTGATGAGAACACCAGAAGCACAAGCACCCAAACCCTCTGACATTGAGTCTGATTTGTAGTGACCCTCCCTATAGAAAAATATGGAGCAATCTACTTCCGTAGTGATACCGCCTTGGAAAACCAAGGAGGGGTCGCTGTGAGTCAGATCGGACTCCACCGCAGTGAGTTTGGTTTTAGTTTTGCCATATTTCGGTAGAACTGCCCCACAGTATTTCCAAAGCTGTAAATCTTTACAGAAGCAGACTGCCTCATCTTTCTCCTGCAGAGCTGCTGGTGGTTTTGAGCCATTGACCTTTCGGTTAGCAGCCAAACGCCTAAGCACTGCACCACTCCTTTGGCACAGACACAGAGGGGTGCAAACGTGCGGCATGCTCAAGAAAGTGTTTTTAAAATTTAATGAAAAGCACCTGGCCAACAAATGTGCATCTTATTCCCTACTTTATAAAGTTAAGAATTAAAAAAAAAAAAAAAAAAAAATCAGGAGTAAAGAAAAAGAGCTGGAGTGCCTGGAGAAAAGTTTTCCAGGTTTCCCTCTAGGCAATGATTTGGACACATGATGCCATTAAAGCAATGGAGTTTGGGTACTGTATTTTTACATGAATGAGCACATTATAAGGTTTTTTGCAAACCATACAACCGCCTGGCACATCAGCCTCCTATGACACTGTGAACGTTAAATGTACATGTGTGTTATTTATGTGGGTGATTCATGTGAAAAAACATGGTATTTCTATATGCTGCTTTGATCTTACCTGCCTGCCTCCCAACCAACCACCTACTTCAACAAGCAGCAGCTGCTCATCCTTCCTTAGTCATGCACCCCCTAGGCTCCCAGAGCTGTCCCTACAAGCTGTGAGCAAGGAAGTCAGAGATTCCAAAACAGAGAAGTAATCATGGCTCCACCAAGATAGAATTTCAAAGCAGGTCATCTTTTCCAAAAAGCTTATGGAACAGTCTGGCTGATTCTTTAAAGGGACAGGCATTGGCTATTGTTTACTTACCCTGTTGCCCAGCTCAGTCTGCCTTACTTGTCAATCCCTGTATGTGTTCATCTGGGAAGAGGGTACTAGCATTTATCAAGCAGCTGTCGCCTCATGTCATCTGATGCCTATTTTCTTCAAAGGGAAGAAACCAGCTGAGAGGTTAAGTAACCTGCCCAAGGCCACAGAACTAGTATGTGACTAGTCTGTAAAGTCTAGGTCAGTGTAT